CTGTGTCATCGGCCTGCCGACGGTTCAATGAGCTCCTCTCGGGGAGGATGCAATAAATGTCCAGCCTTAGAGACATTTATTGTCTTTCACTTCCGAGCCTTACCGCATTGAATGCAGTCTCATCAAGGGAATGGTGTAATTAAATGCTTGTTTTCCCAAGTCGCGTGTCAGCAAGGTCATGCGGTCTTTCTGTCTCTGATGCGACACAATATGCCACGCGTCCATTCCCCATTGGCTGTGGCCCCTGCCTTCCTGTGCCTTCTGACACCAATTGTGTAAGACGAGGTCATGATAGCTAACCTAGCCTAGCCTAAGCTAGTGACCAGTGCATCAATAGCCTCTGCTGGAGCAGAGAACTTCATCCTGGATGAGGGGGGTACATCTCGGTACCGAGGAAGAGGTACATCTCAGAGCCAAGGAAGAGGTACATCTCGGAGTCGAGGAATAGGTACATCTCGGAGCCAAGGAATAGGTACATCTTGAATCCGAGAGGGGGAGGCATAGCGACCGATGTACCATATGAGACCGAGGGTACGTGTCGGTACATAAAAACATACTGGATGCCACTCGATCCCCATGATCAGTACCTCGGGGGGAGAGGGAACTTGTGACCCGATGGGTACGTGATCTCGGTACCAAGGATTAATGACACCGAGGGCACGTGTCTTCATCTCGGAGTATTTCGAAAATGTCCCATCAACTGCCCCCCAGCCTTCGATCTTCTGACACCGAGGACACGCGTCGTAAGGAGACAAAGGGTTTTACAACAACCCCAACTACTTCATCATTGCTTCTAGCCGCTTTCCCCTGCTTAGGACGTCGTGCGCATTAAATGCGCCTTTTCGTGCTTCGCGCCCAATGATGGGATAGGTGCTATATATAAATGGGTTTCCTCTCTTCTTTTCTCATTTCATCGTTCTGAACTTTTCTTCACAGAGCGATCGCCGGAGACTTCGCCGGAGATCCCTTTTCTTCCGTTGTCAACTGTCCAACCATTTCATCGGAGTTTTAAGGACAGCAGACCCATTCTTGCTTCTGAAACATTCTGGAAGGAGTCACTTCAATTTCCCAGAAAAAACTTCTTTTTACATTCTGGTGAGTCCCAGTATCTTTCCTTTCTTCGTCCTTCTGTCCCTTTTGGTTTTCTGATAACTGGAGGTGTCTCTAGTTGCCACTTAGCGACCAATCTTCGGGAAGCTTCCTTGGGGACCTTTAAGCGAAAAAAATATCCCCCACTTTTTCTCACTTTCTTTGAGATGCCTCGTCGTCGCCCTGCCCCCGAGAATCCTCAGGCCAGTTCTTCAGGGTAAGAGAAATATAAAGTAAAGGGTAGTGAGCAAATTAATAGGTTTAAGGTCAAGTACAGCATCTCACAGTACGTAGACATAGAGGATTA